AGTCTCCCCAAACACCCTCTGTATACAGTAAAAGTCAGCAAGGTGGAACGGTGACCTCCAGGGGAGTTCATCTTTTTGTGTCCTTGTCTTTGGCAACACAGAACATGATTCAGTGCATGAATCATAAGAGACAGCCAAGAAGTGATAACCCAGACCGCCTTCAGAGATGGTGCGTTGTTTTTTAAATAATGCATTAGGTCAGTGCTAATGGAAATCTTTACTACTTGTCAGAGTCATAATCTCCCAGGGCTAGGCAAGACCTCAAAGATAATTCACTCCACTCCCAGACCTTCAGTGCATCACACGCCCTGCACCCCCACCCCCCGCAATAACTCAGACCGACAGCTGTTCTAGTCCAGGATTCCTAAGAAAGGAAATATCACCATTGCTTAAGACAAAATGTTCCAAAGGGTTGAAGACTCCCAGCACTTGAATGTACTTTCTTAAAGAAGGGTTCTGACTACAAGAATTATTCCCACTCTATCAAGGTTTATAAACCACTGATAAATATCTTTACCACTCTATGACATTTTCTGTCACTGTAAGTTAACCCAAAAGTCAGCGATTTGAACCCATCAGCTGCTCCACAGGAGAACAATATTACAGTCTGCTTCCGGAAAGACTACCGTCTTGGAAACCCTATGGGGCAGTTCTACTCTGTCCTATAGTGTTGCTATGAGTTGGAATCAACTCAATGGCAACGGGTTCAACAGGTAAGTGTAGGTTTGGAATGACAACATTGATTTGATGGAAACTACTGTATAAAATCCAACATTAGGACATATCCTACTACTGCAAACTTTGTCTACAATTAAGATGTGCTGTTACCAGAGATGGTGTGCCTCTGGGTCAAGACTCATGGTCCAAATAGATGTAATGGTAATTAAAAAAAAAGGCAAGCTATCATAGAGATTCAATACTATTTATGACTAAATTGTGTTTTTATAATAGAACTTGTTACTACAGGAGTAAAGTTTGAGGATTTAAGGGCTATTCGTTCAGTTACATATATAGACAGCAAGATTTGAAGAAATATGAATACCTAGGGACAATTAAATACCTTATTCATGAAGGCTTAATTGTTACCAATTACAGCTTAATCTAACCTGGATTTTGTCACCTGGTTTATGCATAATGCCCTTTAAACTGACTCTAAATATCCACACTTGATGTGAAAAGTCCACTCGGGACACAGTAATTATTTCTCAGTTTCGGCAGTAGCATCAGGTTGTTGTTGCTAGGTTCCATCGATTCAATTCCGACTCACAGCAACCCCACGCACAACAAAACGAAACACTGCCTGGTCCTGTGCCATCCTCACAACATTTGCTATGTTTGAGCCCACTGCTGCAGCCACTGTGTCAGTCCATCTCATTGAGCATCTTCCTCTTTTTGCTAACCCTCTATTTTACCAAGCATGATGTCTTTCTCCAGGGACTGGTCCCTCCTGATGACATGTCCAAGGTACATGAGACAAAGTCTCACCATCCTTGCTTCTAAGGAGCTTTCTGGCGGTACTTCTTCCAAGACAGATTTGTCCGTTCTTCTGGCAGCCCATGGTATATTCAATATTCTTCGCCAACACCATAATTCGAATGCATCAGTTCTTCTTTGGTCTTCCTTATTCATTGTCCAGCTCTCTCTGTGAATATTCAGGTCTCTGTGAACATTAGTCTGGGATTTCCCTAAACACAAAGCGTTTGGTTTTCTTTATCTTAATTCTGGCTCTCTGTTTCCTAAACAAGTTTATTTAATGTTAAATTTATAGTAATTAGTCTCTAGCAACCACACTCACCCAGAATTAGAAATAAAACCTTGTACTGGGGTTTGGAGTCCTTGGGTGGTACAAACTGCTAATACGTTCAGTTGCTAACCAAAAGGTTGGCAGTGTGAGTCCACCCAGAGACACCTCAGAAGAAAGGCCTGATGATCTGCTTCTGAAAGGTCACGGCCTTAGAAACCCTACGGTGCACAGTCTACTCTGCATACATGGGGTTGCTGTGAGTCAGAATGGACTGGACAGTATAACAACAGGACAGGTGAGAAGCATATGACCAAACACAAACAATCAATTTGCAAGTCCTTTGTTTCTTCTAAATACTCTGGGGTGATGGGTGGCTTTCCACCAAATCCCCAGTCTGCAGGCGGTACCAGGGTACACAAAGGGGCAGAACCCTGAACCTCCTGCAATCAGCCTCCGTCAGCACCCCATGCTGGCCTGCCTGAGGGTTCAACAGGAGTTTACTTGTCAGGTTGGAACCAGTCCTGGCAAAGCCATAGCCTGATAAAGGAAGATACAACCAAGGCTGGATTAAGGGAGGAAAAAAAAATGAGTCATGGAGGGAGATGTTTTATAAAGAGTTGAAAGGGAGGAAGTTTAGGGAGGCAAACAAAAGTGGCCCATTTCCACAAGCTTCATTTACTTTATATTTAGCTTTCCCATTCTCGGTAACTGAATGTATTATTTATTTTGGCCAGCAACTGCTGCGTGTGGCTTTAAGAACAACAATAATAGGCTTTTAGGGTTCAGCACCACAACATTTAAAGACTCAAATAAAAATCATCAGATAAATTATTCAACACGAAGCAGACACCACATTCCTGCTCCCCTGTGGTACCTTAAAGTGGCAGATGAGGTGGACGAGGAGCCCAGATTTCTAACGCCAAGGGCGCCGCCTTTAACAGCCTGCTTGCACAGTGCATCCTTGCACAGCGTCTGGGGCTGTTCTCATACTGCTCACCCTCAGTGTGGACTGAGGGCAGCACATCACGGAAAAAGCCACATGTAGTGGGTAGTGCCAGTCAGGGCTCACACCTGGTCTGGCTTAACTCTGCAAGAGATTTCAGACAGTTATGCTTAGATTTTCTCTACAGCAGAGGGCTAAGGAGGGCTGTCTGGCTGGAAGAGGAGGTGTGCAGCTGTATTCTGCACAATGCTTGGCACGAGCTGGAGAAAACATCAAGTGTCCTTATCAAAGAAAGAGGGTGGCGGTGGTGGATTCTAGGGTGGCACATGTGCCCAAAGCCCTGTCCTGGTGCCACTGCTCATTTGGAAAGCTCCTTCCTAAATATCAGCATCTCAGCTGAGAGAAGACCCAGTTGCTGAGGCAGGGCGGGCATCTGAGGTGATGAGGTGTGGCTGCTCCACACAGCACTGGCTTGGTGGGCCCCAGATGCTTGGGTAAGGGAAGGGTTGAGACCCTCAAATGAAAGCTGAGGAGACTGACAGGGACGCTGTCAGAATGGAAATGCCCGCACCCAGCTCTGCTCCAGTACTGCCAAGGAGACCCAGTGGGAGTGAGAAGTCTTAGCAGCCTCGGGTGTACCCCACCAGTTGTTTGTCAGCTGCCATTGAGGAGCTCTCCGACTCATGGTGACTCCATGCACAACAGGCCGAAACGCTGCCCAGTCCGGTACCATCCCTGTGATGGGTTACAGATCAGACCTTTGTGATCCACAGGGTTTTCACTGGGTGATTTTCAGAAGTAGATCACCAGGCCTTTCTTCCTACTCCAGTTCAGTCTGGAAGTTCTGCTGAAACCTGTTCAGCATCATAGCAACATGCAAGCCTCCACAGACAGATGGGTGGCAGCTGTGCTTGAGGAGCACTGGCTGGGAATCAAACCTCGGTCTTCCATGCTGAAGGCGAGAATTCTACCACTGAACAACACTGCCTTTGTGTCCCTGAGGATGGAAGAGCAAAAGCCCAACAGTTTACTCCAGAGAGTGGGCTGCTGCAGCCTGGGCTGGTTTACTGTTTTTTGAAAGCTGCTGAAACTTTCTGTTTTCTCTGCCTAGAAATGCCCTCCCTCTGCTCTTGCTCTGACTTGATGATACCTTTTAGGTCTCAGCTTAAATGTCATTTTCTCAAAGAAGTCTTTTCTGACCTTGACCCCTCACCCAATCTAAAAAAATCAGTCCTCTTGTTACTCTTCTCTTAGAACCCAGTTCTT